GAGATATTAAGTTCGCAGGTCTAAAAACGTGTTCTGTGGGGTCAAAGTGAGTTTGACCGTTAACCATTAAATTCTTTTCAAAAATGAACATTTGTACCAAGATTGAAGACATTCCCTCAAGGTATTCCTAAGATATTGTGTTCACGAGGCAAAAACTGTGTTTTTGTGATGTCACAGCATCCTTCAACTTGACCACCAAAATCGAATCAATTCATCCTTGAATCCAATTGAATATTTGTTCTAAAAGAATGGAATGTACGAACAGACAGACAGTCCATAAACATAATGCCTCCAGCCCCTGGCTTTTGCCAGCATGGAGGCATAAAATATACAACACATAAGAGGAAAAGGAAAAACTGAAAAAGCATTATGTGTCTCCTTTAGATCCCAGCCACCCAGCCCAAGATTCGATCGTATGATCAATGATTGACTTCTCTCTTCTCCTTTCCTCTCCTCCCAATTACCTGTTTTATCGTTTGACTCCACTCTCTTCCTCATTCTCTATCAATGGCTCATTGATTCATTCTCATGTCAAGAGGGATCATTTCTTTTTTTCTTCCTTCCTTCTCTCCATCTCTTCCCCCCATCAACATCATTGATTATGTCTGGTGTTGAGGAGAAATGTTTATTTTCCTTTACTCCTCTCTCTCTTTCCTTTCTGTCATTCAATAGCTCATTCAATGGATCATTGATTAGTTCTGGTGTTCAGGAGAATTGCCTTCTTGGACCCAACATAAAATGCACTAAGTGTTATTTGTGTTTCTCTCCCCACCTCAGTCTGACCTTCCTTATTCCCTTTCAGCATAGACATTGTCGATAAGCCTGGGCGTGATCGTGCTGTTTGCAAAGAAACTTGTCTTTTTCTGTTGCTTTTTCCACTCAGAGCTAATAGCATTGGCGTCTCTGAGACATGTAAAGGGGGGAGGGTTTTTGATGTCTTTGCACTCACAAGGGGAAAAGACATACTTGGTATTTATTTGAATGTGCTGGGTTTAACAGTTTGAGGAACTAAGACTATTGATTGTCTATTGTAAATACTAATCTTATTTAAATCAAATGAGATGTTTTGTTCGGATCAGGAATTCAATGTAGAATTTCGATGAGAGTACATATGACTAAAGCCTAGTTTATGCTTCTGCGTCACGTCGACGCCGTAGCTACGACGCAGACCCCTACGCCGTAGCCTGACGTGCGCCTCCCAAAAATCCTAACTACGCGGACGTCGACGGGGACCGTAAGCGCTGTGATTGGTCCGCTCAGAACGTAAGTTCCGGCAGTTGCTTTTCCGGTCTTTCTTCCTCGTCGTAAAAACCAACTCCGCAAACGTTTTCTTTGTAGCTTGCGCTTCAACATTTGCAATATAAGCATTTGTTCTTCAATATTGATGAGCTCCAACAACAAAAACAGCTGCTCCACCTCGGTCGCCATTGTTTACTGTTGTTTACTTTACGGAAGAAAAAGCGAGGATTCGGCTATAACCACACAAACACACCGCTACACCCCCTAGCGGCATGGCGGTGAATTGCAGAGCAACGCGTTCCCTCGACGCAGAACTTCGAATGCTCAACGACCTACGGCGTAGGTACGGCGTAGACGTGACGCAGAAGCATAAACTAGGCTTAAGGGTTCTCCACATCGTAAAGATAGTGACATCAACATTTGAAGTTGAAATATATAATATATGGTGAGATGGTTTGACTCAAGCAGTACTAAGGGGATTGTTAAGGTGCATATTAGGTAACATGACATAGGACAGGACCTAAGGATAATCCTCAATCTTAAGTGTCTCTGTTTTGTTCACAGTTATCCATGGTTAGTTGCCTTTGCTGCTGTGAAGAATGTTGAAGGTAATGGATAAACTTTATAATTTGTTTGTCACCATTGACATTGTGATAACAAACCATGTTGAAGCATTTGATGACGATTGATGTTTGACAATTGATACAAGTAACCTATTACTGACATTGACATCTTTTTGTAGTCTAGAACATTTCTCAATGGGAACAAGACATTTAGTGGAAATTTACAATATGATATGATGATACTTATTTTGAAGGAGATGAAGCTCAATTTAAGCCCCTGCCTGACAAAGGTAATTCCTAAACATATGCCTCACTGTCCTTCATTGAGAATGGGATTTGTTGAGGATTCTTGGACTATCCTCACACATTACATCTGTACGCCATTGGGAGAGTGGGGCCTGTTTTGTTCCACAGATCCCACTCCCTTCTCTCTCTAAGCAGTACCAAGGTCAGGTTATAGATAAACCAAAACTGCATTGTAGTGTCCAGGCTCAGGGACTTTCATATCTAACTCAGATGCTCCATACAGAGAGGCACTAAACTTTAACTCTTTTGCGTATTACACCTGTGGCAAGACATAAGGACACAACATGATTTAGGTATGCATACTTTACTTAAGGCGTATCCAATAGGATGTGAACACCTACATGTAACATAGGGAATGACAGCAATTCTAGCCTTTCGTGGATGTGAAAATTGTGAAAATTGGTCATGTTACTCTGTTAGCGTTTGTATATTGTTTCACCTTCTGGTCTCTTTGATGCATCAATTCTAAATTAAACTCTTCTGCATAAGACATCAGCTGCAGCCTGAGTTCTCCTTTCACCACCTTCCAGAACACTTCCATAACAGGATTCAGAATAGAAGCTATGGAGAAAAAGGTTGTTTGGCTCCATGAGCAATATTTAAACACTGAAAAAAATTGTTTCCAACTGCTGTCTCTGACGCTTCAGTCAAGATTTATTCCAGTAAACAGCCAATAAAACATGTTTATCTGAGTTTAAAAAAAAATTTGATTCTGTCCCCTCTTCTCCTGTTTTGCTTTCTCTTCCTGCTCTACCATTTGAAAACAAGAAGTTTTTTGAAAAGACAGCTTTCTGCATTTGTTGATGTCTTGCAAGAAAATATGCAGCTAAAGGCCTCTTGTTTACTTTGCTTCAGTGCTTGCTTGACTTCCTAAAAAGACAGAAACAAAAAAAATTAACTGAACTAAAGGGCATAGACAGCTATAAGTGATAAAGTTAAAAAATAAAGAGCAGGAAGTGGTGAGAGTGATATTTTAAATGCTTGGCTGAACATTGGCTGGTTAGGACAGACTGGGACTACTTTGGGAAAAGAGGACCACACACACGAACAACCTTTTAGCCATTTCAGGACCCTATTTCATGGTTGTTTCTGATTATGTTTAGATGGCAATGTATATATGAGTAGACATATGTCTGTCTCTCTTTTTCCATCACTCTATGCAGCTGTCTTTGTCATTCTTCCAAATTGCCTCCCTCTTTATTTCTCCCTTTCATGCCCCCTTTCCTGATGTAGTCTAACCCTACTTGTGGTCAACTAAGTTCCTTTCTTCATACCATCAAAGTCTGTTTCCTATCAAACTCATAAGTATAAGACGACTGATCCAGAGACACAGGCCAGCCAAGGGGACATAGCATCTGGTGCTTGTCAACCTCCACAGGCAAACAGGTCTCACTCTGATTTGAACCAAAATCAGCCCCTATGGCCCCAGTGTTTCAAACAGCCACACTAGGGTTTCATTCTCAACTTGCACCCTAACATTTGCCATGTGGATTGCCTCAAGGAGCAGGCATAACGGCAACTAGGAGATCCTGTTCGTGTCAAACTCAAACAAAGACTTCTGCTTGGACTGGTGTTCCCACTGTTGAAACAAGAATGGAAACTATAGTCTCCACACTGCACTTAACTCGTTTTCTGTTTCTAACCAAAACAAAGTCTTGATTTGAGTTTTGATCAAATTACATATTGGTTCAACCCAAGTGTCAGAGTCCTGTCTGTCTGTATTAGGGCTCTAACACTTAAACTTGTTCCATACGTGTGTCCTAACCTTGGTTTCCATTATGAGTTATAAGTATGTGTGTGTCATGTATGTGGAAAATAAATTGTTTAAAGAATGTGTTGTGACCTTAATACGTGAAAAAAAAAACTGTTGGTATAACAGTTTTGGGCATGGCTGTAATTTACAACTGTTATCCACCATAGCTGAAAATGGCTCCAACTTAATAACTGAAGATTGTTTTTAAAATGTTCGGCTTTCAAAATGCTTTCTATATTGTACGGACTTACTTTCTGGTCTCTATACATCTATAATCATGCAATAGAGACTGAAAATCAATCAAGAAAATAGCCATAGTTAAATTTATTTCTTTTTATTTACAGATTGCTGACCGTGTTGGACTGAGAAACCTTATTGGTGTCTGTCTTTCAGTTGCTCTCCAACAGCAGAAGGTTTGAGGGTTCCGGATGATAAGAGACAGAGACAGACATGAAAGAAAGTGAAGGTTGGAAAGGAAACAGGCATTAAAGAAAGGCCGAGAGAAAATGTCAGTCTCCCACCCAGGTCAGCTGATCTATTGAGGATTGTCATTGGCATCACACAAAAAGTTATCAGAAGTTCAAGCCCCTACAATGTGCTGAGTGACCTCAACAATCATCATTCGCAAGTAGCAAGAGAGACAGCTCTAAAATGTTAAGAGGAAGCGGGATGAATTCAGTTTTACATGAACTCTTTGAGACCAACACACTGTGGTCGAGAATTTAAACCGGTTTTTTGCTACATGTTTGGTTGATAATGTATCCATAGTATAATAGCAGATGCTTCCAGACATTTTCTGCAGCAGATTAGAGTAATGCACAAAAATTCCCAAGATGCAATTTTACAGGCAAAACTTGGTGGGATGGGCTAAGCTTTCAACACATTATAATCTGTATAATGTAATGTAAGTAACATATCAAGGGTTGTAGTGAGATGCTAATAACTGGGCAAATGTCTTGACCTTTTTCCTGCTCTTAATATTATGTGCCAGTGTTCATCGTATTTAAATGTGACACAAAACTGTATTCAGTATAAATATTACGGAAACACCTCAACCAAAGAAATCCTGTCGAGGTTATAAAAGAAAACCTAAATAGCTTCTAAAAAGATTTTTAATGAAGTAACGAATGTCCCTTTACCATGTGTGACAGATGAGTACAACTGGGCTGCATACTCCTCTTCCTCTTGTTCCTCCTCCTCTTCCTCTGAGTCTGGCTCAATCGTGTCGCCTAATAACAGGTTGTCCTGTGGACTGCCTGTTTGCGGATGTGATTGGTCAATGACAGATGATGGGCAGAAGGGGGATGGCATGGGAGAACCTATAAAAGAATACAACCAAAAAAAGGAAAACAAAGGAATGATGAATTTGAAGAATGAGTAAAAGTAACAACAACAAAAGCAACAAAACCTTAAAGCAATGTATGACTGAGCAGTGGACTATGGTGATTATTGCTGATGGTTTGACTAAAAGTTGTTTCATGGGAGATTAAAGCAATAAAGTTACAGCCAGTGAAGGACAGTCCCTGGGTTGTTCTTGTCACATTAGAGTCAAATCCCCAAAGTTTGGGGAAGCATCTTTGTCTTGCCATGCACCAAAGGTTTGGAAGAAACTTCCACCTTACATCAGAAACGCTACTTCGGTTGATTGTTTTCGGAAACAACTAAGATCTATTTCTATGATCTTGCTTTTAATAAATTGTATTTTATTTTTTTTTAACATAATTTACATTATATTATTATCAATCTTATTTCATCTCTTTGATTTTATTGTAAAGCACTTTGAGCTGCATTTCATGTATGGAAGGTGAAGTATAAATCAAATCTCTTATTATATATTATGTTACACAGTCAGAGCATCATCACTCTTCCAGTTACTGCCTGAAAAACAAAACTATTTATTCTGATTTCTCCTACCACTCGTCCCTGTGCCTCCTCATCACACTCCAAGCTTATCAATACTCATTCTACAGCCCTATAGATCCTACAATGAAACTTCACAATGAATCTTCACCATCACTCACTTGTAATTGACAGAGAACTTGGCCAAAGCTGTTGCACCGTGTCAAGTGTCAGTCTGAGCATCAGGTCAAGGCTCTGTCTTACAAGCAGAGTGTGCAAAATCAATTGTGTATCGATGTGGCAACCTTGGCATTTAGTAACTTCTGAATGCAAAGTGGCCCTTCGTTCTGTTTTTGTACATTAGTGTTTAGGAGTCTGTGTGTGTCGAGCCATGTATCTTCAAACAAATGTGTTGCCACACAAGAGTGTAATTAGCTGTTTAAAAAAAAGTCAACAGTTATCATGGTGTTAGGCTTCACAGATAAAATGTGTTATGTCTCATTCTAAATCTCTCACATATCGGAGGAAGGACAGGATCATTTAAATACAAAATCAATAAAAGGGCACTTTTAGGGGAAAGAATTTCAATTTTCTTTGGGTTAGCATTTGCAGCGTAAAACTTGGAGTGACAACTGGTCCAAATTTGAAGACATTTCCCAAAAGGCAGACTTGAGATATCAAGATCAAGAGAGAGTGTTTTGTGTGTGTCATCATGACCTTGACGTTTGACCACCAAATTCTTCACCAGGTATTACTTGACTCCAAGTGAATGGTTGTGTGGGATGGGTGTTCCTAACCTTCTTCTTCACAAGAACATGAGGTCACCATGACCTTGACCTTTGACTTTGGACCACCAAAAACAAATGAGTTCATCTTTGAGTCCAGGTGAACGTTTGCACGACATTTGAAGAAATTCCTGAGATGTAAATGGTAAATCTTAATGAACACTCAAAGACCACACAGTTTGCCATTAACCCCTTCACACAAACATTCATACAATGCAGCTATGTACAGCACCCTACCATATGTCACTCTTACACTGTTGGCACAGCCGTCAGAGGAAATGTATCTTGCCAAAGGGACTTCAGCGTCAAATTAAACTGCCAACCTTGTAGCTACTTATCCATGTAGATTTGTAGACATGATATGACGGGCTGGATAGTGTGATGAAGACGACACGCAAGAAGTGTCGCAAGCCATCGTTCCATGAAGAAGCACAATTTTGAAATGTTGCATTTCCTTCATTTGGAGTGAACAGACAAGCATAGTGTCATTAGATGGTGGCACAAGAGGCAACGTTGATTGACTGATTGCATGATTGTAATTGTGTAAAAAAACATGCTGTCCAACAACTGTAAAAAAAAATAAAGGGGAAGACGAGGAGACAAAACCAGTTGGGTTGGCCCTTCTACAACAGTAATGGAATGAATCACCTTCCATGAGGCTCCAGGAAACTAAGTTTGAGGAAATCTGGGAGAATTGGAAAAGGTTCCTAATTTTGAATTTAATTAATTAATTTGATGTATTAAGAAATGACATTTATTATTAATATTATACATTTTATTATTATCATGGAAAAAACACCCCAAGTTCCATATTGCTACTTTGACAGGGATGGTAAATGGACTGTGTTTTTAAAGCGCTTTGATGACCATTCAAAGCGCTACAGTTCAATTTTTTCCATTTACACATTCACTCACATTCATACAGGGATCTATGTGCAGCACTCTCTATGAGAAGGGGCTATTTTGTGGTCCATTATCTTGCCCAAGGACCCTTCAGCACGCGGAATCGGGAGGACAGGGAATGAACCACTGACTTTCTGGTTAGAGGACAACCATTCTATCCCCTGAGCCACAGCCGCCCAGAACACTTCTACTGAAGGATACAGTGTGTTTTCTCTTTGTTTCTAGTGTTAACAACTATTTAAAGTACTTTGTACAACAGTCTAACACATTCGTAAAGTGCTTCTCTATCATACATACATTCACACAGCTTCTACATCTTCAGTATCTTGCTGAAAACACTTGCCTTGACACTTTCACATGCAGGTGGAAGGAGCCATGGATCAAACCATCAACAATCCAATTGACCTGCTCTACCTCCTGAGGCACAGCTGCTTCTTTCTCTCTCTCTGTCTGTGTATGTGTGTGTAGCTGAGCTGAACTGAGCTGCATTACTGTTCTCTACATAAAAACATTTATCATACAAATAGTATTAATGGCCATTTGTGATTAAAAAAATATATTTTTTAGGATTAGTATTTTTTGTTAATGCTTTTTGTACCTTAACATTAAGTTCTGACCCACTATATTTATAAAAGACATTCAACTGATGGGAACAGTTTTTATTGATTTTAAATTGTTTTGAATGTTTGTAGAACATTTGTACCCTTATCACATAAAACAAATGCAAACTAAGCTCTTACGCAGCTGTTGAAGAGAGAGTGTGTATTTTTATGTTTTGAACACCTGGCTCCTTCAGTGCCTCCTCATTCTTCATCCTTGCTTGGCTTGGTTTTGACATACACACACACAGACAGACACACACATATGTGATTGCTTAAGTTTCCCGATGAAGCTCTCTCTCACTGTTTTCTTGGGCTTTCAGTCTTTTCCTCTACTTTTAAGATCGCATTCACACTTGTCACCCTGTTTATAACAGCTACATTTAATTTCATCCATCCAATCAAAGTTATTTTAATTGCATCAAAGGGCTTTGTGGAGGAAGTAACAAAATTATTATTTCAGCCAAAAAGAGGCAAATAAATATGACGTTTAGCAGACCAATGAAATAAAAACCTCTCCAAACTAATAGCTTTGCATTTGTTAACACTACTACAGTATGTTTGACCACTGCAGCAATTCAAAACATTTGAGTATCATGTCAATCACAGCCATAGAACTATATAAGAACTATATAAACACACACACACACACACACTAATACTAAACTCAATCTATTGTTTCCTGTGTGGGTGGGTGCATAACATGAAGCTGTAACAAGAAGGGTGGACTTTAACAGTAACAACTACAGCTTCAGTTACATAATGTGTTTTGACTGGCTACTGCTGACAAAAAGCTCATGATATATTGATTACAAAGTGGTTCTGATATAAAGAAAACTTAATAGATTGTACCTGTAAGTAAACAAATGATGCATGACTCGGCAGCATCTCAATCAATAATGAAAACCAACTTTTTATGATTTGAGTTGATCTAATGGTGTCTGTAGAGCTGTTATCCAACATGGATAATTTAATTGTGGCTGCTCAGGACATTAAGGATCTCATGAAAAAAGTCAGACTGTCAATAATATGTCTTCAGTGATATTAAAAACATTCACAAAAACAGGAACATTTCCAGAGCATTCGGGTGAGGGGCGGCTCCTGGTAGTGCATGCAGGAGGCAGGACAAGAAGCATAAATTCAGCTGCAGAAAGCACAGTGCTTTTGTTAACATTGACATCTGCCCTTATCGCTAGTTGTCACCTTTGTCTTCTGGATGTATGGCACCTCTTTTTCGTCTTGATCTTATCCTGACATATTGTCATACAATTTCATGAGGCCAGAGACACAATTATCTCTTCACAGGTAAATCCTCCCTTACACACACAGGCACGCATTGACTTCTATGTTTTTTATTCAGTGAGGAAAAAAAGTGTAAAACCGTCACAAGACACTTCCATTCTTCCTTTCTTGCTAGACGATTTAGTTTTGTCACTACTCCGCTTTTATGGACACAGATGGATAAGAGGAAAATACAATAGAACAAGAAACTCAAACTGGGCCAGAGCTGGCCTATTTAATTCTCCCTTCTCCATCATTTCTGTCTTTATTTTTCAGGAGTACGATTAAGTCAGTCTTTTGTTCTTGTGGACTGGAAGTGAGTGTTCAGCCACTGTGTCCCCTGGGTACAGTTACATAAACAACTGTGACTAGAGAGAGACACGTGATAAAACCTCTGACCACACACACTCAGAAATTGCTGAAGTTCTTCTTGTTTCTGATTTTTCCTTTTGTTTTCACTTCAGCCCTGTTGTGATTGGTTTTACACCGGCAAACAAACAAGCAAGCATTAACATTTGCAAATCATTTCAAAGAGGGGCAGAGCCAGATGCAGCACACACACACAAACACGTATTCTGTCTCCTAACATATTTTGCTAATGTGTCCTTTGGAGGAATGATTTGCGCATTTCTGTGTGGTATAAATTAGTCCTATCCATAGGGGACTCCACAAAAGAGAGCAATAATTACCATTTCTTTCAACAGCCACACTTCTTCCTCAGACAGACTAAGACAGCCAGCAAGCTGAATCTCTTAATCTCTCATAGATAAAGTACCCTATAGGAAGTGGACTGTAAAATGTGCATCTTCCCTTGTACCAGTTGTTAAACCCCCTTCATTCGTCTTTCACCACTAGTGACAACTATTTATTCACAAATCATTTTTTACCACGAATATAAAGAGTTGTGAAGTA